ATAACGGCGTGACTGTAGAGCAAGGAAGCGGCGAGACGAGACAGGCGGTAGAGATGTGTTCACAGCACGAGCAACCTCTCAAACCCTGCCGGTACTCTCTCTCTCTCTCTCTCTCTCTCTCTCTCTCTCTCTCTCCGCCATTCCTCTCGCCCCCCCTCTCCCATGGTGCTTGCTGTGTACGCCGATCCCGAGACCCTTGGTCGGGGGAGTCCACTGCATCTCACCAGCGCAGCTCATGTAGCGCCTACACACCCATTGTTGTCTTTTTTGTTTCGTCTTCGTTTTGTCTCCCCTTCTTCCGTAGGTATGTGCAATGTGATATAAAAAAAAAATAAAAAAAACTCCAGTTACAAGAAAATGTCGGACTGGACGACGCGCCAATGCAAACCTGCTACATCCACCCAGGCAGATAGCTGCCAAACCAGGCCAATGTCGACCCACTGCATACCGGTATGTCAATGTCAAACAGATCCTGCAGGAGAAGACTGGGATGATATTGGCGTCCAGTGTACGGACACCAGTCACATTTCCTGCGTCTTTTGCAGCATACAGGATAGACTCATCACTGTAAAGTCCACTACTTCGTGATTTTTATTTGTAGAATACATGCCAGGCGTATTCAGTGTGCCTCGCAGGACTGCGAGATGCTGCAGAAGACCAGGTTCGACCTTCCTGGACCGCCATTCACCGACGGTGGGCTTCACGATGCTGGAGGAACTAGATTCCAGTGAAAACCCAAGATTCCTTTGCTCCTGGACGCTCCGACGTGTTGTGATATCTGCCAGGTGCGCAGTAACTAGTATTTTCATCGCTATAGCGAGGACGACGCCGATCGGCAAACTCTCGCTCACAGCCATCACCAGCCTCTCAAAACCATCACTTGGCATCCCCCAGAGGTATAGGAGAAAGCCAAAACAGCTCTCAACAAACAAAAGCTAAGGACGATGGAAAGAGAGCATGTCAAAAAGAAGACGAACAGTATGAAGTTCAAATGGTTTTGAACACTCGTACCACCAACTATACCACTTTCAATAAATCGTGACGCCATTTTGTTTTAACACGCATACGGTCCATTGGCATTGGGCAACACCGCCCGTTTGGTTCTGCGAATTCAAATAAAAATGTACCTACCTACCTACCTACCTACTCAAGCGGACATGCAAAAATGGTCAAACCTACACAAAAGCGAGTGCCGCAAGAAACAGCACAAATAAATAGTAATTCAAACAGCGAAGAACTAGTAGAAGAAGAAGCGAAGAACTAGAAAGGCAGATTTCTAATTATCGAAGAACAAGAATGTATTGTAGAGTCCCAGCGCAACTGCGGGAGGATGCTGGCACCCACCAGACGGGTGGTGGCTGCCCCTGCCAGAGAGATAGAACGAAAACTGAAGCAGAGGAGCCACGTTACAAATAGTGAAACGCACAAGGTAAGAATAATCGAGCAGTGTCCAATTATGACATACTGAGTAATGTACATGTTAAACGAAGACAAACACTAACAAATGGAGAACGTTCCAACAGTCATCCTTTTTTTCTTTTTTTCTTTTTTTTGGTGCCACGTACCGAATTTATCCTTACATCGAAAGGTCAGGGGTTGGCTTTTACCGAAATTTTACAACACAGGAGAAGATGGCAGCTAACCGGCCATATTCTCCGTATGGACAGGGATGCGCCGCCATGGATCGCGCTGACGGGCTATTTTGCAGGAGATGCCAAGGCTGGGCGTGGACGTCCAAGGACATCCATTGCGACGCGCGTCACAAGCGACTTACAGAGAAGGAGCATCCACTTGAAGCGCAGCAATCAGCTGGCCAGCAATCAGCTGGAGAATGTGAGGGCCATTGCTCTGGACAAGAGGCCTACATGGAGAAATCTGGCCGACAATCCATGATCTGGCGTCACGGGTCATCAGTGCACCATATTAATATCTTGATAATGGAATTTGATCATAGGAGATAGGACAGAAGCGGAACGTATAATTATACCCACATAATTATATTATTACGCGCGCTGTGGTATTATTGAGTGGTTTGAAAGCTTTACTACTTCATAACAGCATCATGAAAAAACAGCAACGGAGAAATACAACCGATAAAATGGAGAACACGAACTCATAACGCTTGAGACGTTCTCAAACTAACTCAAAACTATTCTAAGAAAAGAGAAGCGAACTCCAGGCCTATTCTGAAGAGAAAAGGCGAAAAGGCGTTAAGAAGAGCGGGGCTACGGGTGATGAAGCCGGTCAATGGAAGAATAGGTGCTAACGACTTATTGGCGCAAAAAGCAGCGCAAGGCTTTAGTCACATGCTACTTGTCACTGCCATACCCACACACACATGAACACACATGAACACTCTTTTTCTGCACATATCTCAATTTTTTTAAGGCACGTTCAATTAGAAGTGCTTCAGAATCTGCTGCAGCAACAGCAGAAGTCACCACCGATGATATTTTGAAAGCTGCCGACTGGAGCTGCCAGTCGGTTTTACAGAAATCCTAATATAAACCTCAGAATGATGAGGAATATACCAAAGCTGTTCTATGGTGTAATAAAAATCTGCCAACTACTGGTAATTACAAAGGAAATCACGTTGATATAAAGACAGAGAATTCTGATTATAATTGCAGAATGAACTTTTCTAAGCACTCGCAGACTCCATTGCAGCCACTCACACATTACAGGGTACCTCACTTCAAACTCTCCAACTACGGTCTCTTCGCTGCATAAGTTCACTTCACTTCCAAAACTTTTTGCCGACGCAAGAAATACTTCTATTGTTCTATATATATACACAGTTGTCTAAGGTCCCTAGGCTGCTTACAGTGCTCAATGTCCACTGGACAGAGCAAGTAATACAAATATTACACAGCAATGAATCAAAAACGTCTCATTCCGCTGTAACTCCGAGTTTCGTATATATATATATGATATATACATGTCAACAAACAATGGATCACTCGTAATATTTCGCTACTCCGAGTTTCATGCACTGTGTGCAATCATCAGGCAAACAATATTCATTATGGTGAATATTGTTTGCCTGATGATTGCACACAGTGCATGAAACTCGGAGTAGCGAAATATTACGAGTGATCCACTGTTTGTTGACATGTGTCATTGCTCCCCCCAAGAAATTGGATGTTGAGCACTTTTTCTGCAGCTACAGGCATAGTCTTACTAAGTATATATGATAATTATAATGCAGCTACAGGCATAGTCTTACTAAGTATATATGATAATTATATCAGATACAAATGGAATGCACCAAATTGCAGAATGGCCCAAAACACGCAGTGGTTGCCAGCTATTCTAGATTATATTATGGAGAATGTGGTGTAGAACAATATCAACGTCCGAACCGGATATCCCAACCTTTACGATTACTGGTACTGTATTAGGGAGGTTCCGGAGTACGACTTTTCGTGCCAAAATCCGTAGAGGCGCTACCGATTTTTTATACGTCGTTTTCGAGCAGTGAAATGTTCCGGAGTACGAAACTTATGTGTTTGCCGTCATTGCCTAGGTTACGATCGCAAACACGTCACATTCCCGCGCTATGCCTTTTTATTTTGAAATTTGTACCCAAATCAAAACTTCCCGCGGAAAATCGATGTTTCTCGTACCAAATTTGTACGCGAAAAATCTTTCTGCACCCAATGACACAAAATCTCCATACGAAACATGGTTCGTATAAAAGCCAGTCCACACGGATTCTCCGTGCCGAAAAATCGTATGGAGCATGCCTGGAAAAAATCCGTAGCGCCCATACGGATTTTGGCACGGAAAATCGTATCCCGGAACCTCTCTATTCTCGCTGGCTATGAAAAGGACAATAAGATTGAGGGAAACAGGAGTTCTTATTGCCTTTGTTCCCTCTTTGGCTCAACAAAAATAATCACAAAATAATAAATCACAAATTCGGAAAGGAAGAGGACATATGGATACTTCCTCCGCGTCATTAAAATTGTCGCTTCGCACATCGCAGTATTTGTGACTTGGCTCATCTTAGTCAGACTGTCGGAATCGCTGTTTTCTGTTTTCGAACACTGGTGTGACCCTTCCTGCACAATGTCTACTTGTCACTGAAGCCGTGGTGGTCTCGGACTTTGTCGGAGCTCTCTTCCGCACCAAGCAAATTCATCACGCTCCGCACTATTCCGCCCCAGAGCGCATTTCGTTTTCTGGAGTTCTTGCCGTCCCACATCGTTCGCGTGGGCATTTGTCAAGACTGCAAGCTCGGGTATAAAAATCCTGTCATCTCTCCTGAATGCGAACTGCTGAAGTTGACGATGGCAAGAAGAAGGTGGTCTCAAATTTCTAAAATGCGCTACTTGTGGCGCATGTTGCAGCGAAAGTAGCAGGTCTGAAAACACCAACAAAATCAGTGAAGCGCTTGCCAAGGAAAGAAGGTGCGGAACTGCTTACCCTATCCCACTGGAAGGTCGTTACAGTGTACTTGAAAAATGTTAGCTTTCCTTCATCGCCTGCCACCTGGAGGCATGGATCGCTTGAAAACGAAGTTTCTTGACCTGAATTTGAACACGCGTCTTGTTCAGCGTATTGTTGAGTGCTGAAGGGTCTGTCTCAAACTCTGATGAAGACGTTGACCCTAGCTGCAAGTTCAGCGAAGCGGGGGGGGGGGGGCACAAACTAAAGCTTGGTCCGTCGCCAATGCTCTGCCTCAATGTCTAGCTGATTTCTTTGCCCTTCGAGTGGACAAAATAATTTCGAAAAATCGCTCTGGGAAGCGACAATTTTAATGACGCGGAGGAAGTACGAGTTAAGAGTAACCCTTCATCACTGTAACTGGGTACTATATACAGTCAGAAAGTGCAATAACTAGGCATTCATTTATTTATTTATGGCTCAACATCCGAGTTTCAAATTAATCACAAATTACAAAACATTTCCCTACAAAAATGCTGTCAATAATTAGAAAGCCAGGCCAAACAAACAAATCAAAACAACTCATGATACAATGATATAGGTACACTTACGCGATAGCAATGAGCATTACTTTCAAGTTCTTCCAATGTCAAAAGAGACTGGCCAGGGCCACAACTTGAAAGAGCGTCGTGTGCTCTTACAGTCTCTATGTGGAGTGTGATGTTGCGGCCTTTGCATGAGAAAGATTCCTTGGCTGTTTGGCATAAGAAACGAAACAAATCATTAAATTATTGAGTTTCCGAGGCGACAACAATGCTAGAACACGAATGAGGTAACGTTTCTAACGTTACCATATCCCCCAGGACCCGCCAATCGACAATACACACAACTGGAGAATGTTTCCGACTTCAAAGTATAGGCAACAAATGGAGAGGGCGAAGGAGGAGAATAACTAAAGAACAGTTTTGTTGCTTGTACATGTACCTCTACACAATGGCCTTTTCATTAGCCCGGTCCCAAAGATGCCATAATTTTTCGCAACTTATGCTTTTCGCAATCGTGCCGACACAAGTGCTAGTTGCTGAAATCGCATCCTCATTTTCAGAAAAGCTGAAAAGTTGCTAATATCGCATCTTAGAATTGGAGAGTTCTTGTGCAAAAAGCACCTAAAAAGGAGCAGAAATAGCAGAAGTGCAGCGACAGCAAACTCGTACACCCCTTCCTGCTGTGAACCACCACTTTACACCATGCCAGTAGCCTGTTGTATGTAGCCTACATCATTCCAGTGCTCGGAAAAGGGATGCATATTATCGTAACTACCTTTGATCTACTATTTCTCTGAAATGAGTCTGAAGGCAGGCCAGAGAAATGAGCGAGAATGCATTTGTCCGACATGTTGTTGTTGTTGTTTATTTTACTTCGCAGATTATAGCGGGCAGGTTGCCCCATAACAAGAAAGCGAAGGACAAGAAAATAATAATAAATGAAATAAAGGAAATAAAGGAAATAATAGCTTTAAAAAGAAAAAGAAAAAGAAAGTCCGTGACTTGACCTTTTGACTCCATGCCATGGGGCCAAGGTTGCGGAAAAGCTGCGAAATAGGTCGCGAGAATGAAGAAAGTTGCGATTTATTCCTAAATAAGGAAAAGTGACGAAAAAAATGGCGAGCATCTTTGGGAAACGGCCATACATGATGGTCGTGGACGCGCGTATTTCTTTGTTCTTTCTCTTGACTGCAGACTGCCTCAAAACTGTTCCTTTTTCTCTTTCCCTGCAAATGCTATGAATGCCCTACATACAGGTCCTAACTCGTCCTTCCAGCTCGTTCATTGGCACTCTTATTTCTGTTCTGCTAATTATTATTCTTACCAGAAATGGAGTGGCTGTATCCATATGTATCGGTATTTCCTTTCGTCCCTCTCCCCCTTCTTCCCTGGGTAGACAGATGCAGTGTATTGTGTTTGGTAGGGTCCGATGGACTGCTTGATGGTTGACCACCGCTGTTTGTCTCGGAGCCTGCCGGTCTAGAGTCGTGCACGGACTTTTCCTAGATGGTGATTCTGGGCATCACGTAGGCAATCAGAAGACCTGTGGACAGCGAGAGTATAGTTAGCTTGACATTGGGGCGAGTCTGGTCGTCTCTTGAGGGACTTCCAGGCACTATGTTTCGCCTTCATGGCCTTGTTGCAAGCTGGCGTCCACCAAGCGGGATCAGAGGGCCGAGTACAGAGAAGTTGGGATGGGATAAACTGGTTCATTCCATATACGAAGGCAGAGGTAATGTTGGTGCAGCTTCTGTTTGCATCCTCAGACATAAGGGCATCCCAGTCCACACTCATAAGGTGGTGGTTTATTCTGTACCAGTCAGCACGGCCATATTGGCAGACTTTTCTGGCCGTCTTGGGCTCTCGAAATAGTTCTGCCTTGAATTCTGCCAAGATGGTTTCTTGGTCAGATCTACCAATTGGGGGGGGGGGGGCGAGCCGGACCGTCGGGTTGCCCAGGTCACTAATGATGAGGTCGAGGAGGGCATTTCCACGAGTTGGCTCCGTCACATGCTGCTGGAGGTGATGTAGTGCGCAGAGGTCCTCCAATTTCTCCCCAGCTGGAGTTGTTCTACTGCTGCCCAGCCAGGCAGTGTTGTGTGTTGCACAAACTCCCTGAGGCGTTCCTTGGTGCATCAATAATCTCACTTGTTTCCCCTTATCATGCAAAACATTCCACTTGTGACTTAACTGGAGCCAAGGTCTGGACTTTTGAAGGGTACTATAGTGCACTTAGCGCTTGCAGCGATCCACTCTCCAAACAGTTTCTTCTTCGCTTTTCGTCAGTCACTGCAATGGTTTCTTTTGCATATTTCCATGTCAATGAACGGCATAGTTGCCTTTTTTAGTGCCTTTTTCCCCAATTGATATGGGTCTTGAGGAAAAAAGGATAGGATCTTTTTACAACTTTCTGCAATTACTGTTCTGTCTTGATTATTATTGGCGCTCTGGTGTACTGGAGAGCTGGCTGGATGGGAAAGAGATTGTGGTGGCAGTTTAGTAACAAGCTAAACCAGAAACCATGACATCACCTTTACTCACCAGTACAGGTGTAATCCCTGACCGTTCCATTGCATTTATAACCTGCAGGGCAATCAAGTTGTTGGTCTGTAAGGATGGTACAAGATTCCTCGCAAAAGGTCCTATTTAATTCTGGAAGTATACATACAAAAAAAACAGAACAACGATGATGGGCAATAAAATTCACAAGCAAATGTACCCAGAAGGTGGGGCTTGCGTAAGAAACACGAATGCCAGTGTTCAAGACCTGCACTTGCAGTAGATAGCATGCACTGTGCTAAACAAATCCGGTTATGCACGAGTGGACCATTGTACACGTAACGAACGGCACAAGTCACAGAATAGACTCGCATGGAGAGCCAAGGATGAATTTACAGAAAAGAAAAAGGACCACTGAGGAACTGCAAAAACTCCACCTTATCGCCCTGATGTTATTTCTATAACTTAGAACCATCCAAGTTGGAATGCTGTTGGAGTGCGCATCCAAGATCATAGTGTGCTAGAGCTGTTAGCCAGTTAGTTGTAGAACGTCAGTACCGTCGGTCAGTGTCGTGCAATGTTATAGCACGAGCTGCTTGTTTAGTAACTGGTGGTGTTAGTGGACATTTTTAGCGTAACTTGTAGTTCCTTGGTCCTTTTTCTTTTCTATAAACTAGTCACAGAGCACAAACTAGTTGAGGCTGGGTGTCAGGAGGCCGGCATAAGTCATAAGTATGATAAAATATCCAGGCGTCTTTCCCCGTCTGCCTAATCACTCTCCACTCACAGCTAAAAAAAGGTGTCAACAAACACATCTCAGACCAGCCATGGTCTTGAGACGTGCTTTGAAGCCCATCATGTTGATCGTCTCACTGTTTTTTCCAGATCGCACCTCTCGGTTTGGGTATGTGCATTGAAGCACCCCATACTAACGGTCTATACTGTCCTCTCTTGGTCACCACTCTCCCTATTACCTTTATTGTAATTACTATTCATGTATTGCGCTTCAGATTTTCTTCCGTTTTTGTCTTTTTTGGTGCGTTACCGGCTTTCCACGGTGCAGGCATCCCGTCAGTTGCGGTTCTGTGGCACTGTGATTGAACAATCATCTTGTGCTAAGTGTCTTGGCATCATTATTGATGAGCACTTGACATTCCGTCAGCAAGTTGATGCACTCCAAAAGAAGGTCAGTGCAAAATTGAATGCATTTCGGCGCTGCCGCACCATGTTGACCAATGCAGCCAGACGCATATTTTATCTCTCTTTTGTCCAGTCTACACTGGAATATACATGCAATCATTATGTACAAAGTCTGCGACAACATGAATATGATCCTCTCAACCGCATCTCTCGCTGTTCATTGCGTACTGTATTAATTTTGGCTACCACCCACCGCAGATGTCCAGTGTATTCTGTCTCGAAACAACCTCACACCCATCAATATCCGTTTCTCCATTAAACTGTATCTTCTTGTATTCAGAAGCATTCATTCTTCTGCCAGTTCACTTCTGTGCCGCCTTTTCTGCCTTCATTCCAATTCTGAGGCACTTAGCCGCACCTGCACAAGGTCTCAAGTCTTGCTTGGACTTGTACTGCCACGAGCCTCCTCTCGATTTAGTTATTCCTCTCTTTCTTATTTAGCCGCTGACCGCTGGAACTCAAGTCCGGCATCGGTCCGCGTTGCTGCCTCACCAAATCAATTTCTTATCGAGATCCTAGATTGGCTAGGGTACCCCGTAAGGAGACCATAGGTCTGTGGGGACTGCCCTAGAGAAATATGAATAAATACTATACTATACTATCCGTCGGATCCTTCAGAGTCAACTGAAGACTACTGTCTTTATATTGGACCTTGATTGTTGCCATGTAGACGAAGTAATAAAATGGCGCTCACAAGTCACCCAAAAGGGTGAAAGCCGTGCACATCGCGCGCGCGCGTTGTACCAGAAGGCAACAAGCTAGCTCTACCTCGATCCACGTGTGCGTACTACAATGTGTACAGAAATGATTTTTACCCGCCATGTAAACACAAAGGTCACATTGGAATCCGTTGGATCCGTTCAACCCTCCTCCCCTAGCGAGGTGGGTTGACCTGATCCAAATCTGAAGGATCCGCATCCGGATTCGACCAATCAAAAGGGTGCGAATCCAGTGGATCCAGTGATGGACAGTGAAAAATAGTGGCCCAGTGGCACTAATTGCGGAGTAGGGTAAGTGATTCAGCCTAGTTCTCATATCCTATGGAAGTGCACTGAAATAGCGGACATAGCAACAAGAGAATTGTGAGTTGCCCTCTAGCCGGGAGCATGAGCTATTCCTTCCGATTTGAATTCTCACTTGACTGACTCACGACTGCCGTTCAGACCACACAAGAAGTCAATGGAAACTTCCACTGGACAAACCTGCGAAGAAAGCACCACTACCTGCTCAATACACAGTGTTTCGGGGAATTAAACCCTCATCAGTTGAGCTTGAGTAGGCTGATAGCAACAAGGGCGACTAATTGCACTGTAAGCATTTCCTAAATGTCGACATGTATCATTAAAATGTGAAACGATGATCGCGAGGCACATAACGAACGGGAAAGAGAGGATTTGTTCAGAACTGCTTTCTTGTTAGTTGTTGTTACATTCATCAGTTAATCTATGTAACAATGGAATGTTGTGTGCCTTGCGATTATTGTTTCACATTTCACTCATACATGTCGATATTTCGGAAATGCTTACAGTGCAATTAGTCGTCCTTGTTGCTATAATAGAACTTCCGCCTCCAAAAAGCTTGTTTAAATAGCAGACACTTGATGATGCCAATTAGGATGAACATAGTGAGCCTTACCATTATCAAGGTATTCCCGGATGTAAGTGGTATTATGAGGCACATCGAAGCTATCCGCAGGGTAGTTATAGAAAGTGCATAGCCGATGATTGGCTGTGAGTGGATTTATGATTGGGCTATGGGAATCATAATAAAACAACAATCACTTTAGGCCTCCTACGTACAGTACCACCTATTGCATGGCCGACTGTGGTTGCCATCACCATGTACAGAGAAGTTTCTAGAACGTATTGCACGGCGTCATTAATATCAGTACTCTCCAATATGGCATATGGCCGATTGGTTTGCAGGCCTGCCTGCGAATCATGAGGTCCCGAGTTCAAGACCCGCGCTGGTAGCAGGGAGCGTGTAAAAAGACTTTTTACGCGTGTTGAACTGCGCCGACACCCACGGTCAACTGGGTACTCACAGCTCGGAGTGAGAATAACAAGGATGCAGTTTACAGGGTTATGGGCCGTTACACGCCCGATTGGTTGAGAGACTAACCTCCTCTCCCCTGACTCACTTGTGAGGTCTGCATTCGCCACTAAGGTTAACAGGCATAGTGGTGGCCTGCGGATGCGAAGGCTAGTTTGTGTGTTTCTGAACATTCAAGCGATGCCGACGCGGATCCCGCGAATATTATTATTATATTATTACTCTCCAATATAATGGAAACAAGTTTCAATTATCTTTCTTCCCAATTCTCACGTCGAATTTCCTCACTATATCCTCATGGAAATTAGCTGCCATTGGGCTCGCTGCCGAATGTGAAAATCTAGATTTTGGACTATTCGACGTAATATATATTATTTCTTTAAACTCTACAACGTTGTTATGTTGATTGGCCATGCCTGCATCAATTGTACTCTTTATTCCTCTTATTGAATTGTTTTCTCCACGCCGACTGTTCATACATAAAATTATAAAACGTTTTCAGGAGGTAAGAATGATATTAAGGCAACGAACAGGGCGAGTTCCTCACTTTGTACAAATCATAATCAAAACATGAAGATGGAAATTCTTAGAACATTTCAAGATCCTTCATCATTATCTGCCCCCTCTTCGGCAGCACCACCACCACAAACAATGTCATCAACAGAAGTGTCTTGGAAGACGTTCACGGACGAATACGTCAGTTTCATTAGAGAGGTTTTGGAAGTGTGAGTTACGAAGTCTGAAGAAAATGTTGAACGCTTTCTGCTGGGATGAGGACTATAGCATACCTCAGTGGTTAGAGCATCGCTGACCTCAAATGAGGGTGCCTGGTTCGAGTCCTGGGGGTGACAGTCAATTTTCTCTTCAGACTTTTCCCGTTTGCGTCTTTCCCACCAATAAGTGAAAACCTTTAAAAAATAGGAATAATTAGGATGAATTCCGCCGTCATTACTACACATCAAGGAAGAAGTGAAGGTTTTCCAAAATCGATTTTCATCAGTGCAATATCGTGACTAAAGGTGGTGCAAAACAATAGTTAAACCGTTGTCCTCCCATTGGATTTTGTCAATACCTGCTCGCCGTTCCTTCATTCTTGCTGTCATTCTCCCGGATCTTTTGTATTGCTCCCCTTCTTTCCTCACGAAGTTGTCTGCTCGGGATAGGAACAGATTACAATCACTGTTTCGGCGTGCTGTTCGCGCAGCATGTGGCGCTGACCGCCTTGATGACCCTAGTACAATATTATGCAGGTTATCTCTGCTTCCTTCTGATCCAATATATGCTAATGTCCTTTGCTAGATTTCTACATCGCAATTTTGTCTCTCACCCTCTACCTTCGCTCTCCTGCCCGTTGTACGAGGAGCCAAACCACCCCATCCATTCCAGTGAACAGATTTCGTACTTCTGATGGTGTTAATTCTTTTCTAACCGTCCTGCATTGTTCTTTAACGCACTACCCTCTGAACTCCGCAGTTCTTCACACACTCAGCATTTCATGCAGAAATACAACAATTTTTGAAGGACCCAATGCAGGTCAACCGCTTTCTTTACTTCCTTTTTGGCCGCGTTACCAATGTGTAGTGAACGTTGTATATCCTTGTGTGACCGTTGTATATCCTTATTGACTTCTTTTCCTTCGTGAAAGTCACACTCCATGTATGTTCTTCACTATCTTTCTTTACCTTTACTGGGTCTTCACATTGTCTATAGCCTCATCTTTTAACTTTTCTTTTTCCTTTTTGCCTCATCGGTGCTCTTTGAATTTGTGTGTCAACACTGTTGAGTTGTTCAATGTTAACCCTTTAAGAGCCGCCCCATACTTGAATGCGTCGTAAACGACGCATTCAAATGCAAAACTTCAAAAGATCGTAACTCAGTCCAATCTCGCTCAAATCCAGTTATCGAAATATCCAGGGCGAAGAGAAAACTCTCGGCTGTCGGGAGAAACAATCCGCGAAGCGCTGCGAGCAACGGTTCCTGAGATAAATCACTCGTAAGTTGAGCCGCGATCGCGGCAATTTCAAAAGCGCGCAGTGCGACTTTAGTATTGAGAATTTTGAGACTTTTCGTCACGCTGGTTTACTCGAATCTGCACGGGTTTTACTGTTGATATTGTCAAGAGTACACAGCGAAGAAATTGGAACTCCACGATCGAGTAAAATGAAATATCTGGAGCGGGGCGCATTTGGGGCATTTTTCGTACTGTCGCTGCGATCTAGCGCTGGATAGATGGTGTGCTGGCTATCATGATCGACCTCCTTCTCTGCCTCTCGCGGAGACCTTTCCAGGAAGCCCTAGATTGTGAGGATTGAGTGAGTAGAACTGAAGCTATGATTCAAGGAACACGAAAAAATGCAGAATTTTGAAATTTTCCTGTGGCTCTTAAAGGGTTAAATAAATACTACAACTACTACTACTACTATTTTAGTGGCCAAAGAAGTTGTCAGAGCAATCCATTTAAAATTTTATGGTTCATCGTTCCTATATGAACCCAGAACAATACAATAGTTTGGAGGTACATCACATCACCTATGTGCAATGGACTCTCAATCCTTAGCCAATTTAGCGTATACCAGAAGCAATTTATGTTGGAAGTAAATACCTAGTTGTATGACCACATATCACCATTTTACCAATGCAATATGTTTGGGGTATGATATGGGGTTGTGCCTGTTAAATACTGTCGGGACGTTACCGAAGTTAGACGCCTTTGAAATTTGATGTTCCCATATGGGAACAACGGGAACACGGCTACCAAATAATCCCTAATTTTGGAAGGTTTGTATAAACATCTGACTTTCATATCTATCGCCTGAAGAGAGATCATGGTACCTTACCATGATAATTATACTGACGTCAAATCTACAAGTACGAAATCTCAGCCACAGACGATCAATATGGAAGTCACTATGGCGACATGATGTGTTTAAACACCTAAAGCTAACAACACACTGCACATGTAGTACATGTAGTAACTTCGTTAACAAAAGATACATAGCGTTCCCTGTCATTAAACATTTTTTCCCAAAGTGAGCATTAACCTGTCACAAATGCGACTCTTACAGCGCGTCCAGACTCTTTCTACAATAACACGTGACGATAACTATAAATTAGGTTTCCTGTTCCATAAACGTATTCCGTGTCTATGGCTTTTACGTTTTGAATGCCCTAGCCCTCAACTAAGTTATGCTGGTACATCAGAAATCGTTTGTATCTCTTCTTCTTGGCCACTGCTCTTTCTCCCTACCATTTTATTATGTTTTTTGCTACAACCACTGTGATTGATGTACATTTTCCGTACACCCAACTCGCAACTCAGATTTTGGGTACTATATTTTATCTGCAACAAGTTACAAGCCAGCACTGAGACATAGGGTTTACCGGGTGTTAGCGGCCGCGACACGATAAATGTTTTTACTGAGACATAACAATGTAAGTGAGCATTTCAAGAAGTGCAAAGTGGGTGTGAGACATCCATGATTGCGTTGATGGGAGTGTGTGAGGGGCGGGGTGTATGTATGTGTGTGTGTGTGTGTGTGAGCGAGAGAGATAGAGGGGAGGGACAGGGTACGAGTCAAGTATGGAGTGTGTTAATCTTCTCAGGTTCTCAAGTCAGCTGTGGCTATCCATTTGAGGTGTTACCCACATGGCTGAGCTGATTTGACTGTTTACTTGGGGAGTGAAAAGATATCAGAATAAAAGAGACTTGTGCTGTGGAATATTTACTTTTTAGGCAAGTTCTGTACATTTACCTAACAGTTAGTGTGACGTAATGAATTTGAGCTGCGGATGAGTTGGGTGGTCTGTTGTTTTGCGTCGTCGAGTTGTAGTAAGGCCGGCATGTCCAATAGTCTAACTAATTTCGTCATGGACAGTTAGTCAAAACTCGTAACATTTTGTCCTTCTCCTATTTCACCATAATTTAATTGGCTCCCCATCCGAGTTCAACTTTGCAGACCTGATGAGCCATCATGACCTATACGGCGAAACGTACGTCGTGTGGAACTACTTGTTATTGTACATAACTAGTCCATCATACATAATAGTGGAGTTCAGTACGATGTTGGTGTTTCGGTTTGTCACAATTCGTCTTCGCTTAGCTTCCCCTTTCTATGTTAATTACATAAACTTTAGCCTCCCAAGTTGCTTTCCGTCGTCGAGTTGTAGTAAGGCCGGTATGTCCAATAGTCTAATTAGTTTCGTCATCATCCAGTATAAATATCGTCTACGGATGTGTTCTCCCAGTGCTGATGATTACGTGCAGGAGGGTCTAGTCGGCTAAGTGCGCAGTGTAATGGTGGAGGTGGCTCAACCTTTTCTGTAGTTATAATTATTGTTTTGTTTACAGGAGTCACATATCCCTGATGATACCGTCTTGGGTAGGCATGGGCAAGTAATGCTAGCGTTATGGCTAGCATTATAGTCCCTTTTTTCCAGGTGGCATAATGCTGGCATTATAACACCATTTCGCATGCAAAATTGGCATTACAAGCATAATTGCCGGTCGACAACGGTGTCATGCATGAAGCTGGCTAGGTCCAGTTCCGAAAATCGTGCATCTGAACCCGTCCGGCTTCGTCCGGAGACTTGGAGTTGCAAATCAACCTTCTCTCTTGTTGCATTATGGAGTAGTGTGAGCATTATAAGTGGCATTATATTATCATATTATGAGCATTGCCTTTAACATTATTACAGCAAATAAGTAGAATTACCCACCCATGCCTACTCTTGGGCGAATATTTGGATAAGAATTTGAAGTTTGTTTTGGAGAGATTTGGAAAGATTTTCACTCTGTGTAGCCAAGGAGTTTGTGCGGCTGTGGGAGCTAGAAATTAGAATAATAAATACTGTCATTTCATTAAAAGCTTCTTACTCCCAACGTGCGCCAAGTTTAGCGGGGAGGACACTCAGATTGTTATATGCCAGATATCTGTAGGACAAGTAAAATTACACATGAAGAACGTTGCTTTATGACTTTCTGAACCAAGTGTATCATGAAGGGAATTTCGTGTTCGTTATGGATTTCCGTGACTGGAGGATATGGTGAACCAGTTTTAATATCCACTCTCAGAGTTGCACATATTCACAAAAACACACAGCATATTCAGATCCAAGTTTCAGTGTCATGTGTCTCGAAGGCTTGGTTGGTGTGGTAGAAGGATTATCAGAAATAAGGTGAATCAAATGTTTACAAAGTACAAAGTTCTTATAGGTTCTCTATAACGAGAAGCCATTCCCGGATTGATATTTAAATTTTCTCTAGTCAATAAAAGAGCCCATCCCCCATTGAAATTTGAATTTCCTCTAGTCAATAAAATAAAGTAGCTGGCAGTAATGTTCCAAATTTTCTATGTGAGAAAAGCATGACATTGTGATCATTTGTGAATATTTATGAAACTCTTTCTATCCACAAATCTACAACATTTCTTCCACCTCAAACAAAAGATCAGTGCTTATATGGCAGAAAAAATGTTGATCTCAATAATTGCAAAGTGACTGGTCAAATGACGAATCTTTAGTAAGACGTGGTGGTGGTCTTAATGTGTAATCATCTCGGCTGTGGTGCGGACTAAACAGGATGGTATTGTCGGAGTTGTTGAAGCCGGCAGTTCAGGTTCAGTAGTGACTGTTTAGGTCTCAGTACTGCTTGTATACTCAATTTGGCTTACTGCAGTGTAGCATCAGTGGTTGTTACAGGCTCAGTGCTCCTCACCGTGTTGACAAAAATTGAACTATTATAGAAAATCTAAGTTAGAGAAATAACACTAAGAACAACAGCAGTGAAATTTACAAGTGTTCAGTTTTCAATTAGTTCAATTTCTGTTTCAGTGTCCTTTAGTACAACGACGATTCCTGATGAGTGTTGTACGAAAACTTGTTTGAATCCATATTTTTCTCTTCACCATTTCTTCATATTTTCATCGTTTTAATGCACATTGTCTCCACCGTTTTTACATTGCATGAATAAAGTACACAAATGTCGGTTCAGCTAATTTTATTGATTGCGGTTATCGAATTATTGTCTCCTCGCCGTGTGTTTAAAAAGTATTTTATTACTCAAAGTGACGAAAAACACTCTCATCAAAGACAGCTGGCCACAATGTTCAAATTTTCTTTTATTGTATTATACTATTTTACCAGGGCATTTCCAACAGACCCTAAGGTCTTCATACAGGGTGCCCAAGATGAATGAATTTGTTCAAATAGGGCTTTCAAATGCATAACGTGAAGCAGCTGGGAAGAATGAGTATGTATGCGAAGTGTATCGGGGAATGCATGCAGGGCGATAGTGCGGAATCTCAGGTTATGTCTTTAAAAAAATCGGAGAAATGTAACCGTTACATGATTTATAACTCTAATAGTGCTAGCTTTAGAATAATAATTATCAGTGTTTTTGTAATAGTTTAAGATCTAATAATGTTCACTTTATGGTACCATAAATGTCTTTCCTTTGTTGTCCAACTATCATTGTGATGAAATATTATTGATGATAGTCACAAGAAAACGACGTTCAAATTTTAACATATTGTTCAATTGTTCGTGATATGAGTGCGCTTATTTTACTTTCGTCAGTATTCATAACATCCCTATGCTTTCTTGCCTAGGCCATCACGGTGGTAGACGGTGATGAGCTAGGAAAAAAGCATAGCGTAGGGCCCTGAGCTTCCACGCTCTCTCGTGGGTCTTGATAGCAGACGTTTTCCCCCCTTCAGTCATCTCATATACAACTTTGAATGCCGACAGTGTGGTAGTCGGTATGTTGGTAGGACCCTTCAACATCTGTCCAAGAGGATCAACCAACACGTTCCACTGTCGTTGCTGTCCCTGGCTGCCAGGTCTTGGAGACCAAGGCGTGGCAGGCCACAAACACCAAACACCCAAGCGCGCAACGACTGCCTTCCACATCCTTTTGCGTTATGCAGAGCTCACTTACTTGTCAGTTTGAGCACTCTGGCAAGGTACGTTCCGGCCTAGTTTAACCCTTTGAGAGCCGATTGAAAATTTCAAAATTCTGCATATTTTCATGCTTTTAAATCTGGCTTTGGAAATTTTTATTTTTCATGGCTACCAGGTTCGGCCTCATTTGCTCTGTGCTGCGCTGATGAGCTCCCAAAGGACGAAATAGTTCTGTCCGCAGATTGGGTAACTAGAGAAGAAATTTGTCGGCGAAAATGCAAGGACTCGAGGGCACAGAGTGCATGCAATAGATGACTTGCACAAAGATTGTCTGGGTTCGAGACGGGGCAAGTGGACCTTCTGACTCTGACTTCCCCACCTTTTGAGTTCGTGACTTTGGCTTTTTGCCTGACGAACACTGAGCTAGTTTTTTGGCTAGAGTCGTAGAGTAGAGTTGTTTTGATTCGGCTTGTATCGTCATGCCGGAGCGCCGCTGCGCTCCTGAATGCACTAGCAGACGAGAGATGGAACTGAGGCTCCCATTCCATACGTTCCTTGCCGAGCCGGCCGGCCGGGAGGCAGAAAAATGAGGGAATATTATTTTAGTATCATTGGTGTAGGCTGCAACAAGCACATCGTGGTCCTGAAGTGTGACTACTTTCCCGCAGTGGAAGCGAAGTCAAGCACAACGAAAGTTTGTGGACGTCTGAGAAAGAACTCGATTCCCTTTGATTCGGCTGCATTAGCTCCATAGCGACCCTCTCCTGAGGACAGACTGCGGAGAGGCCAGGAACCTGCCGAGTCACGAGTGAAAGCCCAAACCACGAAAATGAAGGGTGGAAGGACTGAGTGTGAGAGCCAGATGGCCTTTACTAGTACTTCAAGTAGTATCTGAGTTGAAGGAGAGAACAAGTGTGCTGGAGAAACGCTGCGAAGTCCTCAGGCCTGATGTGTACTAGCTACTGCTGAAGTCTCACTTGTTCCGATATGAACATTTCATCAGCCCTGACTCTGAGCAGCTGTATCTAGACTTGGACTTAGGCCAGAGACATAGCATTGTAAACCTTACTGAAGCCATATGTATCCAATGCCTGGCTCTAGTGAGAAAGCAGTTTTGCGCAGGCTCGCAAACTATGATTGAATCAGGGAGTGGTGGAAAGTCACATTATACCTCTCCATGACTAGCTGGTAATGACGACGATGCAGCTCTGGCTGGGTCTCATGGGAAAGTAACTTGCATACCTGTTTAGTTGCAACGAGGCAACGGTACCCCATGTACTGAAGACATGATTGAACTACATTTTATCTCCTGGGAGAAGGTGGAACAAATAATGCCAGAGTGTGTCTGATACACATCACAGTCTGCTGAGTGTGTTCATTATTGTGGACGTAACAGAACTGCGCTGCGAGGTACCTTCTGCGTTGGACCCACAGTTGAGCCACTACTCTTCTTACAAATTCAATACAACGGTGAAGGGATTTGTTGGAGCATCATCAAACAGTGCATTCACCTTCATCATACATTGGCTCCGTTGCCTACAGTAGTTCACATTTTGACGGGGCGCGCTGGGACGATGCGGAAGGAGCGGCGGGAACCATTGGAGTGCTCATGATTCTGGTTAGCGGAGCCGGATGTGAGTGTCAGGAACGGGAACGCAACTGCACTACTGTACAGATCAGGAAGTGATGGAAGAGTTGAATCTGTTCAACCTTCCATGCCGTGTACAGGGACACAAGCGTAAAAAATGGCTACATTTTGAATGTCAACTGGCGATGGCATTGTGTGGCGACGAACACAACTGCAACTGTTCAAATTTCAGCATTTCGAACATTACGCTTCCCATGATAACTCACTGAATGGCTCACATGACAGAGTTGGACATTATCAGGCTTGGATTATCATTTGCTGTATTTATGGATAGTCCTTGAGTTTTCAGATGAAGTGCTTTATCTTTTACCTGTCGTTCCTTTAGAATGGCACAATGTCCATGGCTGCTTTCTTGTCTTCATAACAGACTGGTATAATCAGCATGATTCTGCTTTATTTGAGAAGAAATAAAACTTTCCTTTCGGAAAGGAAGCCCAGAAACGTCAACCCCCATGGGCTGTGCTGTATGACTCTCGTCCATCGACGTTAACTGTCGCAATAACTGCTGCATGTATGTTGTGCTGTGCGAACCGTACACGATTTTACAGCTCACCCACGCCTTCCCAACAGGCTCCTATATCCCGTACCGTTAGCGTTACATTGAATATGAACTAGGCTAGCACAGTTATCCTTCGTTCTTTTGATGGCGGCGGGTAGCATGGAGCATGACGTGTTCTTGGGATTCTCGTGCAACACTTGCTGCTCCCGGATGCCATATTATTGGGTGCATCGAGGTTGCTGCTATGCTCACTGTTGTTTGGTAAGACAATTTTTATATAACTATTTCACCGAAGAATAAGGCAAGAGTATTTTGGGTTGGTTTGGACGCCTGGCTTCTCTTCACATAATATACACTCATGTACTTCCACTAACCCTACAAGTGCACAATCATGCATGACTCATGAGCTGCTGAAGACAGTGCACACTAGTGACGGTACTGATCATGTAAATGTACATGCCGTGCACCGTTCATTCACGTTGACAAAAAAGTACACTACATGGTGTAGGGGGCCCGCAGTGTACCCTGGGTGCACAGGGTGCACTTGCCCCGTCTCACTCGCGGCTCGGATCTTTGTGCAAGTCATCTATTGCGATCTTTTTCATATCTATCCACTGCAACTTTCTTCCTCATCAAAAACCTCCTAACTGCTCTAGCTTTCATGATCTCTAAATGCTCCAAGCTCAGATTTGGTAAGGGTATAGGATCGGACTGAGGTGGCATGTTCCAGAGGCTAGTTGATACAACCGTTCTAGGGAAGAAGTAAGGCCTTTGGGTCAAGAAGCCGTCCAATATAAAGAACAATAGGTTAACACAGCCTATATAGGTCTTCAGAACAGTTGCGTATTGGAGTGTACTGGACTGGTCTGTGGTCAGACGCACGCCAAGATGTTTTGCAACTTTTACTGTCGTGATGAGCTGATTAGACAGTTGGACTTGGTCCTGACTGTCGTAATTCCGGATTTGGGATTTTTCGCTGGTGAAAACTATCCCCCACCTTGCTTGCCCATTGTTGGCAGTTTGCTATAGAGGAAGAAATAAAGGAATCGTTGCTGATTGTGGGTTGTTGTTCAATATTCAAATCCCTAAAAAGTATGAAAATACTTACATAACTGCATTTCCAGACTTAGCGTATCTACGGAGAGTATAGGGTATCTGTATAAGGGTATTGTGTCGCAAATCTCTAGAGGGTAAACATACATGTAGATAATTTCAAGTAATACACAAATGACAATGAGGAGATAACAATTTAAGTAATGCAACGAGCGGGCTTGAAAGCCCAGGAGCCCTCGATATACTTCGTTTTTACCTACATGCAGGTCGTCATATCTAGTGTTTGAACTGATAGAAACGTCTTTGCAATACGATTATTGGGCACATGTCTTTTGTACAGCAAATATGTTTCTCTCAGTTTGAACAACACACATGACAAACTAGATAAAAAAACATAGCAAGGGCTCCAGGTGTTATGAACCCTGCAAGATTCTCTAAATTGTCAGGATCGTACGACCACACGGCACGAGGACAACTCTTTTCCTTTACACAGTATATTTCACTTCATCTGATAATTAACAATGAACACTAATAACACCAGCTATTTATAGCATGCAGAAACAGCGTACATGCAAAACATAAGCATATAAAACTGGACATAACAGCGTATACAGCAAAACGCACACAACGCATATAGCGTATGCCATGCAGCAACATCAGCGGTACGGCGGAGTCGAAATACAACATTTCAACGAATACAATGCCATAAGCGCGAAGGCCTTTCCCAATTGAGAACTGGTGGTTTACAACATTCTCCCCACCAAAGGGCTTCTCACCGCCGTACAACAAGGCACACAAGTCAAAAACGATCCGGGGCTCTGACTACGCGCCCAGAACGCGTCATCTCCTGCTGCCGTGGTGGTGGTAACGGTGCTGGCGGTTCATACGCTGGCTGCTGAGGGACGATAGCAGGTTGAGCGGTATCGGCAAGCCCAGGAGCCACGTCCTGTGACGATACTTCTAATGGCACTAACCTTTGGATCGGCCTCAACAGGGTACTGGTACTCAACTTAACCTTGGCAACACGACGCTTGCCATCTCGACCAGGAAATAACTCGATGATCCGTCCCAAACGCCAGAACTGTTTGCGCTTGGTATCATCGAGAACAAAGACAACATCACCCACAGCTAAAGGGCGCGACATGGTCTGTTGGTGCTTGTTCAGCTGACTTAGGTACTCCACCTCCCAACGATTCTTGACATGCTTCAGTGTCTGACTGAGGTAACGCAATCTCGCTGACATATGCGTAGCGTCCGGGGTACCTGCTGGCTTCGCTGACGACATCCAAATGTTACCCATCATCATTGCAGGGGTTACTGGTGGCTCATCCAGGCTATCAGACACATAAGTTAACGGACGACTATTCACCACTGATTCAACCTCATACAAGATGGTCTCAAGCTCCTGAACCTTCAGAAACGCTGTTCCCATTACCTTTTTCAAGGCACTCTTCACTGTACCAACCATTCGCTCATAGAAGCCTCCATGCCATGGTGCAGCTGGAGGATTGAACATCCATGGCACACTCAGTTTGTCAGATGCCGCCTTGAACGTTGTAGCGTTGTCAGACCTGATCCGAGACGGCAAACTACGTCTCGCGACAAACTTCCGAAATGCCATCAAAAATGACTCGGTACTTAAACTATCGACCACCTCCAAGTGAACTGCTCTGGTGGTGGCACACACAAACAATGCTATCCATACCTTCGGAGATGACTCACCACGGCGCACGTACAACGGACCAGCATAGTCGATGCCGGTAGTTGCGAACGGCCTCTCGTGAACAACTCGGTCTTCTGGCAGCGGCGGGCAGACTTCTGAGGCAGCCTTAGCCTTGTAGCGGCGGCATGTAACACATCGCTGAGTAATGTTGCGTAGCGCTCGTCGACCACCGATAATCCAGAATTTCTGACGGATAAACGACAAGACTCCTTCTACACCTTGGTGCATCCTTTCAACATGCATTTTCTCCAACAGCAAATCGGTCAGAAGATGTTTGCCTAACAGGACTGGGTGCTTGGCTCCATACGCCAACTCGCTGTGCTGAAGTCGTCCCCCGGCTCTGAGCACTCCATGCTCATCCAGAAACGGTGCAAGCTGATACACCTTCGACCCGGGCTTCACTGGTTGACCTTGCTTGATCAGCTCAAGATCCTCAGCGAAACATGCGGCTTGAACGATGCGGTACAATACGTTGTCTGCTGCAAAATAGAGTTCAGCACGAGGCTCAGTGTGCTTCCACTGCAACATCCGAGTCACCATGCCCTGTGCCCTCGACCATTTACTGAATCGGAGCCACCATTCCTTATCAGATTCTCGACTACAGGTGGTGGCTGACACTCGTACTTCTACACTGGACTCATCTGTAGCTGCGGTTGAGGATGCGGTGGGCCAGTCATTGGGCTCCGTGATCCAGGTTGGTCCGCCCCTCCAGAACGGACTACGGATCTGCTGTGCACTACTCCCACGCGACGGTAAATCTGCTGGGTTGTGAAGGCCCGGGCAATGGTTCCACACAATGCCGACCTTCTTCGATATCTCTTGGACTTGACTGATGCGGTTAGCCACAAATGTTTTCCATTTGTACGATGGATTACTGATCCAATGAACGGTAGTGAGACTGTCAGTCCAGCCATAGACTTGCGTGACGGTAACACGCAGCTCCTTCACCACAAACTCAGCGTAGCGAGCCGCTAAACATACTGCTTGTAACTCAAGGCGGGCTAACGTGGGCGGAGACACAGGTGACACTTTGGCCTTGGCAAATACCAAGTGCGACTGTCCATTGACGACTGCATACAAACAACATCCAAACGCTTTCTCACTGGCATCGGCGAAGGCATGAAGCGCAATCGGCGTGTCAAGATTGCAGCAAATCCAACGTGGTATGTCAATGCTCACCACTTCGGCCAACTCTCCCCACCATTGCGCACATGCGGCTGCGATGCCATCAGGCAACATATCATCCCAGTCGCCTTCGACTTTCCAGGCTTGCTGTAGCAGTATCTTTCCCGGCACAACTGCCGGGGCTGCTAGACCTAGCGGATCAAACACTGATGCAACACACTTGAGGAGGGATCGCCGGGTCCAAACAGACGGCCTATCGGACTCGCCTAGCGCTGCTATGCTGAGCAAGTCATCACTGGTTTTCCATTTCAGACCGAGGACTTTATCTCCGGCCTCTGTATCGCACGGGATTTCGTTGCCTCGCCACTTGCGTAACTCCATGCCAGCATCCGTAAGCACACGCACGCTGAACTCTTGCATCTCCTTGGCTTCCGAGGCATTTGACACACTAGAGACCAAATCGTCAACGTAGAAACTCGTGAGCAAGAGATCAATACAATCTCGCTCTTTGGGTGCAGACAACACCCGTAGCTCCTTCAAGTGATGCTGAATCACCGCAGTAAGCATGTACGGCGAGCAGTTTACGCCAAATGGCAGTTTCGTTAGCCTCCAGGTTAACAGTTCATCGCTGTCGCTTCGACCGGGCCACAAGAAACGCAGGTACGGACGGTCTTCGGGATTAACCGCGACCATGAAGAAAGCCTTGCGGATGTCCGCTTGCAGCGCGCTCTTATATTCACGGAACCGTAATAGCATACCTGCGAGACTCGGTAATAGCGACGGTCCAGGGTCAACCATGTCGTTCAACGACTTGCCATCTGGAGCCGTCGCCGAGGCATTGAACACCACTCTTAACTTCGTGGTTGCAGCGTGCTCGCGGAATACACCATGATGCGGTACATAGTACCCGGCATCGCTCTCACATGGCTCCAGCTCAATTGCTCCAAGCTCGCGGTACTCCCTGATCAGCACATCATCATAGAGCGCACGCTTCCCATTCCTCTTCAGCTTTTCAAGAAGCCGCGTTGCGATGACTCTAGCTTGAGCAAAGTTATCCGTTGGGCGACGCTCATTTCGCCACAAGAGACCCACTTGGTACCCGCTGCCCTGGCGACATAGCGGGAAAGATGGCAGGTGCTGATGTTGTTCTGGAGGTTCATCCAACTGCCATAGTTGTTCAATGTGGGCTGTGACACATGACACGGTCACCGGCTGACTGTTTCGACTTAGTGCAGACGCTGGACCAGATAATACATTACCTATCTCTGTGTTCCACACCGTCTCACCATTAACTTCCTTCTTGCTGTGCAGTACCGCGTTGATATAGTCTGCACCAATCAGCATATGTATTTCGTCTGATGTCCCTTGTTGAGGCTTGTCACTCAGCTCTACTCCCCAACTGTGCCACAGGGCAATGGTCTGCGGACTTGCGCACTTCAGGTCCATCTCAAGCGTTGGTTTCACGAACGCGCGTACCCGAATGCTAGCGGAGCTACCCTGGATCGTGATGGCGTACTTATCCATGCGCTGTTGGGTTGGTTCCGCGCCGAACGGCTTCACCTCTACATTTTCAACCCCAACGTGTTCTGCATCGATGGCTGACACCAACGCTGCAGTCACGAATGACGCCTCAGCACCCGAGTCCAGGAACACGCGAACCTTCGCGTTTCGAGTTCTTCCCTCAACTCGTGCCACTCCGGTCATCAGCCGCACACTTGGCGAGTGTAGACAGCACGACCCAACATTCTTCTCCGTAACTATCTCAGTCGGTTTCTCCCGGCTGTAACCTGCTCTATCCAACACCTCATGTATTAGCAGGTGGTGTTTCCTCTGGCATTTCGTGCATCTCGAGCCTAACCGACATTCTCTGGCCATATGGCCATACTTAAGGCAGTTCCAGCAGAGTCTCTCTCGCTGCAGAAAACCCTTTCTCCCTTCCAGTGGCAGCGACTTTAGCTGCTTCTCTGCATCTGCGACCGATATCGCCATGCACTGTGCCGACGCCGTGGGCCTTGGCACGGATCGTTCTACTGGCTTCCTGGCAGTATCACCCTGTCGTCCGTGCGCGACCTGGTAAGACGCGCCGTGCTCCTGTACCTGGCGCAGTGACATCCCGTAGCACTGCCGTTCGACCAGGTACGTCTTCATCTCAGGTCCGCATTGCTCCAAGATTACCTGCTTTGCCATTGCTTGCAGCACCGGGGACATTTTACCTATATCGGCGCTATACTTGGTGTCCACCTCGCCATCTTCTGTCATAGCGAGTGTGGCCCACACTTCTA